CAATTTGGGTCGCGACCAGAGTCACGGAACGAATTAAGTTCGTGAACCGAGGTACCACTGTGTTTGGGGAGTAAAAAACAGTAACAGCATGGGGGTGCTGTAACAAAGCAAAATATCCACATTTTGACCTTAGAGCAGAAATGGGGAACCTTTGGGTCTCCTGATGTTGCTGAATTCCCAGCATCTCCTACCATTCATCTTACAGACTATGATTCCTGGGAGTTTTAGCCCAGGGACATCCAGAAAGCTGTATGTTCCCTTCCTCTCCCTAGGATCAGGAATAACAGAGGATGAAGGGAGGGCTGGAAATATTTTCGTCACATTACTGAACTCCTGATTTTGAAGATACCATTAAAAAGAAAAAGGATAAAGAAATTATAGAAAACTCTCTTACTGTAACTGGCATCCCCCCACAGCTGAAGATGTCGAAAGCACTGATTCTTTCGCAGGCTGCCAATCAGGATGGCCACACAGGACAGAAACAGGACCACTCCAATGACTACCCCAGCCACAAGCACTGACGAATCCAGCATAATAGTGTCTCTGCTGGTTTCTGTGTAGCGAGTAATCTTGCTGATAAAGTTGCTATGGTTCAGGTGGATTTCTATGTAGCAGGGAGACAGAGAGAGAGAGAGAGTTGAATAGATCCTACAAAGCAGCCAGTTTCAAATGTATATTGCCAGGTAAAGCTTTGCGGTTTACAGGTGGAGAACATCTCATCAGCTTCAGTCAACACAACCAACAATCAGGGCTATTGCTGGACTACAACTCTCTCCAGCCCTGATCACTGGGATATGCTGGCTGGAACTGACAAGAGTTAAGGTCTAACAACATCTGACCATGAATGAAAGACTTCTGATTCCCATCATGACATGGGTGGAGTTCTCCTTACAGTTTTATAGTTGAACTAGGTTGCCTAATTGCAAGCACGCAATTCCCACTGATCTCCAGTAAGTGATCTGAGTTACTTGCTCAATTTTGGCTAAGAGGCAGTTGCTGGGTTCACACCTTATGTTAAACCATACACTTCAGTGTACAAATCACAATGGCTGGCCTTGCACATCACGCAAAACTAAAAACCACCATTTGCAAATCACAATGGTGGATTCACACATCATGCTAAGCCCCAGCATATCACGTTATAGCTTAGGCTGGTATGTGAATCAAGGGCTCTCTGGTGACTTCCCAATGCCTATAGGCATACAGTGACCAACCTCAATTTACAACTGATAGCATGCTGCTCTTGTCAAGTTTCTGTACTGAACTACCCATGCGACAATAACAAAGGTTGCCTTGATGCGTTCAGAAATATTAAATGGGCTAACAGAGGCCAAGTCTACTAGGGTTTTTGGACATTTCTCCTTCAAGGCAAAATGCTGGCCTGTCCTTTTTTAACAGCTGACGTTGCCTTTTATTTTTTGCTGCAGCTATCTGATAACAGCCTTTGCCTTGGACACTGACATTCTTATTAAAGAGTCAGAAGGAATCAGATTGACCTGCACACTAAGAATGTCAGAAGCAAAGAATATGTGGCAGGAAAAGTGGGCTAGAAATAAATTGTTTCAGATACTTGGGCCTTTAGGGCATTACACTGATGTCACAGCCACTTGTAAATGTGCTATTTCAAATGAGCAGATAAACACGTAACAGGCTTCCCATTCTTCAGACCACCAATCTGTTTTATCAACATGATAAATTCTACTGGAGTGAATGAAATTGCTTGGGTGGGAAGCAAGCATGAGGTGTATGCTGCTCTACCGTCTACTTTTTCCAGCAGCAAACTATTGCATTAACTAGGATAGGGGTTTAGTATTCCCAACCTTGCCAGAAGGCAGAATGTACATTCCTAATCAAGGCCCATCTCCCCATACTGCACTAAGCCATGGATGACTTGAGTAAGCCATAGTGGCCTGGATTTAAATATTATAGTAAGATTGGATTTCTAGACCAAAATGGCTAGGATCCTAGCATGTTGAATTGAGGCTTGTTAACTAAGCACAAATGACTGAGTTTGCACCAACCTCCAAACCATAAACCAGGGTTCACAAACTGTGATGGCTGTGTTCACACAAGCCATGAAGGTCAAATCAAACACAGCACCTTATAGCACGTTATAGCTTAAGCTTTTAGCTTAACACACCCACTGCATGGGTTCTTCCACTGTGCTAAACTCTGACCATGGTCAGCTGAACAAACCACAGTGGGTGAGTTCACACACGTGAAGCTAGGACCAAAGCAACCATACCATGTCTATGTACAGTGTGTGAATGCAATTAAGGTGGGCTTCTCAGTTGAAATTGGTCTTGATTAAGACTCGCTCATTTTCCTGCAGTGAGATTATTGCATGTACAAAGATGGAAAGATCAGGCCCTACCCACAATGGAGGAATGGATGGTGAAGATGGTGGAACTTGCTGAGATGGCCAAGTTGACAGCTTTGATCAGAGAAAAGACAATATCTACGTTTATTGCTGACTGGAAACCCCTTATAGACAAACTGCAGTATTTTCACTTTATTCCAACAACATTCCAGGACAGCCTCAGGATGTGTAATATCGGTTAAACTTTGTCACCCATTACTTTGGAGGGAAGTCAGGTGATTAGAAATGATGGGGGAAGCGAGGCAACAGAGGCAGGAGAGGGACTGGCAATGGGGACAGCCCATTTTTTTCCTGGTATAGATTTTTGCTGATTCAAGGAGGGGTTGAGAGCACTATAACTCAATAATGGAGAAATACAATTAAGGCAGGTCAGACTCATCCAGCAGCAAAGAAAAGAGATAGATATGGACTTTAATGGAATCTGGAATGTAGAGACTTGGAATGCAGGACTTGGAAGCAGTCCTCAAAGAAGACAGATGGCAGTGGTATACTCAGAGAAGGATATCGGTGGCTATGTAGATGTTGCTGAGCTATTATTCCCAGCATTCCTCGCTCTCAGCCATGACAGGGGCTTCTGGGAGCAGACGTTCAGCAACATCTGGAAGGCCACAGGTTGCCCACTCACATACTGAGCTTCAGATGAGTTTGGAGTCTTCACAGCCTTGAACAACCTGACCCCAAATAAGTGAAGATTGCCCACCAGCTATGTATGATCAGTCACTAGGTTCTCTTGTT